ATAAACTTCCCCGAAAGTTTTCTCTCTCATTTCCAAGCGACGAAGAGAGAAAGCATGCGCCAGGATATCAGATACCGTCAGGCTGTGTATTAGACCTGACTGCTTTCCATGCGTTGTGAATCTTGGCTGGGCATGCATTATGCCGCGAAGGGACTGGTGATTTCATCTGCAAAGAAAACTCGAAACAAAAAATGCTTTGGGTCCTTTATTTGCTTTCCATAGCGATTCCATTCTTTTTTTAAGGGGCATCCGCAAGGAAGCCTTCCAGAGGAGGAAGGAATCGACTCAGGAGATTCCATACTCTCGTTGTTCTTCGCATCTGAGAAAAAATTTGAATTCTTCACCAACAGTTATTATCGTAGCATTATTGGGCCTAAAAGGATTTTTGAAATCTCCTCTCGCTCCCAGGCACCTGAAGTCAAAGTGGGTATTTTGAAAATGAGCCACGACTGTCTTCAGTATTCTTGCGATAATGACTCCTTGAACATTTGACATGACTTGGGTCTTCAGTTATCATCGACTTGACACGACTTGAGTCTCAGTTAACATCAATAATTGCATGCCCTAGCAGACCCATGATTTACGAACAATATCAAACCATGCAAAATCTTTGACTTTAATTTAAATCGCAACCTGAGGATTGATTTTCATAATGTGCCGGTGAATCTAATTCAATTCTTAATTTCATTTGAAGAATGATCTACGTGCATCGCGACGTGAATCAAGGCAAACCGATGCAACGGCAGGAAGAATCTGCGATTTTGAGACGCTGCAGTGGATAGGAAATGTTCTGGTTCCAATAAAAAATGACGAATGCAAGCCAATGCACTGAACATTGACAGAATCCTCAGGCAACGACCCACTCTTCAGTAGAGAGGCAGTCGCATTCCCCTTTTTCCCTACGCTTCCAGGAACAATGACATTGTTGGAAGCACTTCGCATTGCTCCTCCATTAAACCATTGCTTTTCATCCTTTCCGTGCAGATCCAAACTATTGTGACGCAGCAAGAAAAAGGGACCAACAGAGCCTTAAATAAGATGTGGTCTTTTAAATGTATTATAGATCCCTTGCTGGACACGTTATGTTAGCCTTTTATTCTCGATGTTAAAAGCTGAATTCCAGAGCTTGGTTGATATGAGACCACCTGTTTTGTGATTCAACGTTGATTTAAGGAATACAATTTTGATGCATGGTCTATTAAGAAGAAAATAAAGAAGGAAAATAAATTCTAGTTTTTCTCCAACGTATATACGATATATCATAATTACGGGCTTGGAGCTTAAATCTTTAAAATTGTCTGGCTCAATGATATTCCTCACAAAAAGTGGCACAAGTAAACAATGCTGTTGCCGGTTTGTTTAATTTTCATTTCCATAGCATTCTTCTCGAAATCCTGGACAGGCAGCGACATCTCTCCACGAATTGTTGAACTACTAGGCTTTAATCAATTGTCCCCTTTGGTCTCTTTCCTCTTGTCGTATCCCAAGTATCAACGAGTATAGACGAGTCACAAGCTTACAGGGAAAATCTATTGAGAATTGGAGGAACCGGTGGACATCCTCAATGATCGATTTGGGAAGGTCCTCGTCGACGGTAACAAGAATAGTCATAAGTTCATAGTTCGAGCATTCCGCCGAATTTTTCAATTCGCAGCAGGAGGGGAAACAGTTTTTTTTTTTTATACGCACCCAGGCAACCAGCAATTTCATTCTGATGCTAAAAACTTCTAATAAATATATTTTTTAAATGTCGATAAGCCTCATGTGAAACTAGAATTACGGCATGACTGCTTTATTGTTCGGGTCGTGATGCATGAAAGGCGTTGGGTGAAGCAGTCATTGCTCTCCTGTGCATAATGTTAATTTATACATGGACATACCAAAAGAAGGGAGCTGCATAGTCGCAAGTTGGATTTACGGAAGATGTTCCTCTTCAATAGGGTAGGTTCATCTAAAAGGAGCGAAGGTCGATTTTGCAGGAATCCCTCTTCACAGCCCCACAGGTTCGGATGCTTGACGCTTTTTTGGGGTGAACACCTCAGGGATGAGTTCCCTCGCTGACATCTAAAAACTTTTTCTAATTTTCCCAGTTTTGACCGGGAGGCTCCGTTTCCTCTCCTTGCTCCCGACGGGCTGGGAACCTCTCTCTGTTCCACTTTAAGAAAAATAATCGCATCATTCCAAAAAGTAACGAGAGGGCGAGACGAGCCTTTTCAAATTCCTTTGACTGCCCTGTCGATACTCCAGCTAGATACTCCTGCATTGCATGCTGAATCAAAGATGATGAGTGCTTTCCAAAGGTTAGTAGCAGTTATCGTGGCATGGAATTGCGAGACATGAACCGGATATAGGGGATATACAGTATTAGCTCAAGCTCAGAGGGAGCACTCAACTTTTTCTTGGAATGGGATATTGACATTACATTGCATGAATGATTAATTAAAAGAAATCCTTTTAAATTTTCACGACATCCATAACGGAAAACACAGTGCACTCACTGTCTGTTGTACAGTCCTATAACAGTCTGTTCGAACGACAGAACCTTATGTTCGTTTCCTCGAAGCAGAACCGTGCATTGCTGGTAATAAACATGGTCAATAGGGAATACGAGAATCGATATGTTGCCTTGAATCCACATTAGGCAATATATAATTGAAAGCCTTGAGCGGGTGAGCTCGTAGAAGCTATTCCTGATAGCAAGAACGTGTTGAGCCTCTGTTGATCCAACTTGTATGCCAATCTGCAATATGTACGTCCAACATCGCGAGCCAACATTGATCCAAATTTGAATGTGCCGATGGGCACAACAAATACTGTATTGGATGCGTACTTAAGAGCAACTTTCTGCTCACATTTTCCTACGTTGCAACAACATTGTGTCAATAGTGAGAAGGGATGATCCCAAGGAAGTCACCTTGCCATATGGAGTGAACGTCTTAGACGCTAAAATGCAATGATAGAGTATTTCTGAGGATGGACAGGATTAAAGTAACTTAGGAACACGATCTCATCCAATATGTAGAACTCAGAAAATTCCCGCGTCCATTCCCTTGCAAGTCCCGAATGAATAGGCGCAGGAAGACTTAATGACTGTATGTGATGCAATCACGTTCAAACTAATCTAGTCATGTTAATGCGTCCTCAGACCCTGAACCCGGATATGCCATCCGTATGTATTCAATTGGAGGAGGAAATTGCATATATCTGCCTCGAATGGGGCTCAGGATTCGGGGCAATTTTCTCTTTCTCAGCCGGAGATACTCCACCACTAAGGGGTTGATTTATTTATTTTTGTTGGAAAGAAACAGTTGCATTCAAACATGACAGTTCTGAAGCAATACAGAGACCATTATTCATTGTAATTAAATGGAAGCCCAAAACATTACGTATTCTCAATGTGTTTTCTAGTTCGCATAACTGAAAAGTATCACTTGTCCTTTGTACAAAACTAATTAAGAAACAGTGGTTTAAAAAATTCGAGGTTGACAGTCAGGGCACAAGGGTGACATCTAATTTCTAGGCGATGAACCTCCGAGTTTTAGTCACTGAGCACATTTTGGAGGTCGTCCATGTCCCGAGCAAGATTCCTCCCGAGAAGACTCCGGCCCACCTCCACTTTCGGCCAACCTTGCCAACCTTCACGCAATGTAGTTCGATTCACGCTATCTGGGTCACTTACTGGAAGGTCTTCGTATTTCACATTAAAAAATCCAAAAAGTGCATAACCAGCCTGTCCAATGTATCCGTTTGGAAAGATGTACACCGTAACTATCATCACTTGCTCTCCGCGTTGAATATTGAAATTATGCATAAGAAACTCGAGGTTATGCACATCTTTATGCGCCTCACTGCATGGCTCGCTCTCCTTGTGTATTTGGAAATGATATGCAGTCGTAATACTTCAAAAGCTTTCTGGATTTTGTCAATACAGCGACAATTCATGTCGGATCCAGACCGTGAGACACCCAGAGGGCAGGCGTCAGCCCCAAGTGAAGAATTTCCATCAAGAATTTCCCTTCTGAATCAACAGTTCGGAATGGCTTGTCTTTATGCCCTCGACGGGTCCTTTTTCATCCTTATCGAGCCCTCCAGCCCCTTTTAAACCTTTTGGAGTGCACTGATGAGACTTGACAGTTCAGAGAAAATCCCATACGTCTCCTTTTTGGCTCAAAATAGCATTAATTCCCGAGTTCGAAGTCAATCCCACGCTTGAGAAAGGCCTAACGAGCTTGGTCATTTTCGGGCCCGCCATGCCGGGAGGCTCGAGATAACGAAGAAATTAATCCCGGTAAATCATTATGAACTTAAAATATCCAGCTTGAGTCTCGGAGCATATCGATCACTCATTTCGATGCAACGATACGACGACACCCACGTGACCCAGAGAGCTTCTTCGATTGGTGGAGTCGCTGGGGCATTCAGTCTCTTGCCTGGGGAGAAAGTCTCCCCCGGGTCCAGTGGATTATGACGAGATTGCTTTCTCTCCCTAGTCCCAGAGTCACAAACAGGGGGGGAAATTAACTCGCACCATTCTCGATCAATTCGTATCTGTCTATATTGTAGAGAGGGAGAGGGGGAGGAAGGGCAGAGAGAAATTCAAAAGCAGTGCCAGCCTGACACGCGTCCCAGCCCAAGGCACAGATGGGGTCCACAGTTTTTAGATTGCATTCGTAATCCCTCATAGCGCTTCCAACGTTTACAGGGAATCGCATCTAAAGGGGTAGTTTTTTGCCTCATTTGACGAAGCGAATACTCTGGTAGTGCTTTCTTCGTTTTCCGTTATTTAAGAGAGAACGAATTCAACCCGAAAAGGAATAGTGGGAAAAAGCACTATGTCGAACAAATCCAATATGGCTGCGTGGTGGTCTCCTCAGCTGTTGTAGGAACACCCTCACGTTCTCAGATATCCAGTTCATTTCGGCTTCGACTGACAGATCTGGTGGACACTTTAGTTCACCACGGACCCTGTATGGATATATGGCTAACGCTACACATCTAAGATGAAGGTGTAGGAGGTCTAAGGCGTACCGTTAGGCCCCTGTGAGCGTGCAAGGCTAACTGTGGGCCCAACGTATAATTCAAGCTAAGCTAGTCTTAACGTAATTTTGGCTTAATGCTCACATTAGGGCCTCTTCAGAACTGGAAGTGTCCACGTCTACTTGAAAGTATGGCAGCCTAGGTGAAGATTATTTCCCTTTCCTCTTCCATCTTCATTTCATCTAGCACAGGCCGTGGTCAGTGTTCCCATGAAATGTCTGTTGATTCTCATGACTGCTGTGTTTGTGGGAGTCATGGGACAGGATACTTCATCCTTCATACGAAACCTAGACCGAATGGCCCATTCTTCCCATTCCTTCAACATCATGATCCTCCTGCTGAATCTAAAACCTCAACTGTGCTCGAGGATGGAAAAGTGATGGCCTGCTATGTATGCTATGCATTCCTTTATCAGCAGTGGGAACTACATGAGGCCAATCGTGTGCCTCTTGCCACTCGTAGCTACTTTCTGAAGAGGGTGGATGGGCCTTACATAGGGACTGAGTCAATCTCACAAGATGAAGATGATTTCACAGGTAGTTGGATTGACACTCAAAAAAAGGCTGCTCCCAAATGCAACCCCCCCTCCACTGTTTTAGACTTGAGAAAAAGTGATTCCAGCACAGATGATGATAAGAATGTGATCCTGGATCTCAGCATGCCAGACAGTAATGCATCCACAGCAGTCTGTTATGTGTGTGGGAAAGAATTCCCTCGTGGAACACTAGCTAATGTTCATGCAAAGCCATCAGGAGTCAGCCCTTTCTTCCCCAGCTTAATGCTTCACCCTCGTCCTAGTAAATCTCGACCCATGGACCCCTCAGGGAGAGTGTTAGCATGTGAAGAGTGCCATAAACACCTGTTGCATCAATGGAGGGAGTTTGAAGGCAAGAAGGTCTCACATGCAGAAAGGAGATACATGTTGGGGAGAGAGAATGTACAATACAACCACGTTTCCACCTTTGTCTGCTATACTTGTGGACTGGAATATCCCTTGTCTGCAGTGTGCTTCATTTATACTAAACAAAATGCAGAGGATGAGCCATTCTATCCATCCGTTGCATTGATGAAGCCATATCCAGGAGTGATTGCCATTTCTGCCAAGGGAACAGTTCAAGTGTGTTCAACATGTTACCGCTCCATATCAGAACGTAGAAATCACACATTCCCCAATAAGCCAATCCTCTCAAATAATGAAAAAGTGTGCACACCATCCTCTGATCATCGTTCATTGCAAGACATTCATGGTAAGGGTGCAAGTGGTGGCTCACCTACCTGTGAAACCCCTTCAAGCCCTGTCTCTTCATGCCATTTCTGTAGACAAGTATACAAGAAGGATACCTTGAAAATACTTCAAAAGACAGATCAACAAGAAGTCCCTGCAGAATGGACAGGTGCGGTGGTGTGTAACCTGTGTTTTTTGTACCTGAAGGACAAGTGGGACCCTCGCCATCTCGTATCTCAGAGGTCGTCTCCTGCATCATATTTGTTACCAGCTCAGGGTGACCCAAGCATTGCCTTGCCAGCAACTCAGTGCCACACATGCAGAAAGCAGCTGTCTGGCAATGTCAAATGGGTTTCAAACATTTCCAGCAATGGAGAACCTTCATTTCCATCTCTTGTGCCAGCACCTGAATCTTCCATGAAAATGTTGAAGTTACCTGTATGCGAGCTATGCTTCTTTATCCTCCACAGTCAATATCAAGCTTATGAAAGACATCAGAAATCAGTCACAGTTGAGAAGCGGTTATACAATGTTGATATATTTCAGTGTTATTCATGCAAAGAGTCATACTGCACAAGTAAAGCTTGCCGTGTTTCATCCAAGGTGAGCATGAGAAATTTGGCATGACCAGCTTATTTGTTTCATTTTCAGGACCTGTATTCAGATGCATGTATTCTTCTGCTTTCCAGGAAGTCCTAGGGAGAGAGAAGGAAGCATGGCCATATGTCTTTGTGTGCACTAAGTGCCATGATCAAGTCAGTCAATTCCCAAAGGCAGTAAAAGAGGAAAAGAAGGAGGACCAGGTGTGTATTATTAGCAAACCCTTTATAAGTCCTTTTATCTTGCATGTATTAGCTATGAGCTGATCAATCAACTATGACATTTCTCTGGTCTGCAGTCATTATCAGGGCATAGTTGCTTCTGTTTTATAAAAATAGTCTCTGTCACTGAAAACATTTATCAGACTTGGTATGCTGAAACTGTGTCATTTCCAACCTTAATGTCTTGGTTTGATTCACAGGATGATCAAGTTCAGTCACATTTACTGGAGTCCATGGTGAAAACTGAAGATACAGGTGAGCATCTTGAATTTTGTTGAAGTGAGTGCTTCCTTAATTGGAACCATCATGAATTTTAAACCAGTACATGTGTTTTGCAAGTTTATTGGACTCTGAAGCTCATTTTACAATTAGTGGGGCCCAAGCTAGGGAAACCCTTGTGAACCTGCGAATGAGGTTCGTGGGAACAGAGACGCACGGACGGGCGGTGAACTTAGTCTACTTGCATATCCTTCCCTGGAAATTCCAATTCATTGCCTCAGGCTCACGGGGAAAAAAATATTTTTCTTGCATTGGTGTGGCCTCCTCTTGCATGTTGTGTTCATAATTAAATGTATCATTGTTCTCAATTTGATGCCACTCCCATCCCCATGATGTTTTAATGCAAGATACCTACAGGGGATCTCACATGGTCATTCATGGCAAAATGGATAGGTCAGCATGTCATGAACCAGTTATTATTCATGGTGAAACTTGTTATGTAGAAGTTTATTTGCATAATCCTAAGATGACCTTGTCTTTTCAGTACTGATATGACCTTCAGCCTCACTGCCTCATGAAAAATGATCAATAATTGAGGAGTTCTCTAGAAAAAGGGTGTATGTGTCCATACGAATGTATGGGCACATACGCCCTTTTTCCAGAGAACTTCTCAATTGTGAATGTGCTATCAATGAAATGTAAATCCTTTTTTTTTTTAGGGAGGGTTAACTGAGGTATTCTCATTGAGAATACCTCAGAGCATGAGAGAAATGAAGGAGGTGATCAATAACTCTCTGTATGACTATAATAGAATTTTCTATTTTCCTTTTATGCAGGATTCTCTTGCCTTAGAATGTGCTGGATGCTATTCTGAGTGGACCAAGTTTGCAAAGAGGCACTAGATGGCAAATGACCAGTCATAAGATGCAAGTTGACACCCTGTTTCTCTAGTGCTGCTCTTCATCTCTTGCAAAATTACTGGAAGAAATAGGTGTGACATCAGAGAAGCATGGTGTCAACTTGCTTCTTATTACCTGTCATTACTATCTAACACCTATTGAGGATCCTGTCTCCTTGATACATTTTCTACTGGGCTATATTTATTTGGAATCCCCCATTGAGCACACTTCATAGTGAAGTTTTCTTAGAGAATAAGGCAGGAGTTCTCAATGGAATGACTTTGCTAGCTGATCAAATGTTGCAAATATGCAAAAACCAGGTTATTTAAGAAAATATGGATATGTGGTGCATATTACCATATGCTGTTTATCATGTCATTGCAGAAAAAGTTTGCCAATACTGTTAATTGTTTATCAACCATTATATAATTTATGATGTCATGAATCCTGTTGATCAGATATCTAAACCATGCAACGTGGGATCTCTTGACTTTCTCAGCTGACAATTGCTTCAGCATGAAACACCTGACAAGGAGGTATACCCCATAATGTGTCTCACATGTGTGATATCTATCTACCTGGAAGAACACCATGTTCCGCTCATGCAACACGTGTATGTGACCTCTTTGAGCTGGTATATGTTTAAACAATTGCTAGCTACTTGTCACAAGTGATTCTGAAGGGCTGAAATGCTTAGTCATCAGAAAGCTGCTCTTGAAGGAAGTTTAGTTTTTATATCAGCAAAGGTCTTGTTTTTGAACTGAACCAGGAGCAAAGATCCCTTTTTTGCATGAAGGAGCTCTACTGGTTACATTTTAGTTTTTCGACATGCAGTGAAATTAAAAATTTGCCAAGTAATATTTTACTCCCTTATAACTGGATAGGAGTCAGAGGATTGACTCCCCTTGAAATTGTATCAAGTTTTTGTTCTCACAGCTCCATACCAAGGTGAAGGATTCGGCGAGGGAAGCTTGATTTTCGTCGTATGCATTTCTGTTGCATCTCTGGATTCCACAAATTTCCGGTTGCCCCACACCTCGTTCCAACGCCCTCTCAAGTAGTTTTTGAGTCATGGTCAGTTGAAAGCGCAAGCTGAGTGCAATTTCACCCATTCGGTCGTAACGCCTGCACGAAGTTAGGTGGTCTCACCAGCGGTTCGGGTTCCGTGTGAGACTCGACGAGTCATTGAGCGAAACCTGGACAGGTCCATGCACTCTGTAGTCCCACTTGTGTTTGAAAGGTGGCGCTTCATCCTCCAGCTCTTAGTAGGGAACCCAGTTGGTACATCTCCTTCCCGTGTATCTCCTGCGGGAAGCCTCTTGAATGATAGCATCGCCGCCTTCGTTGCTTCTCGGTAGTCTTCTGTATCTCCTGTTTACTAGCTGGAACTGAAGATGCACAATAAAAAAAGTATTACTTGACGTCGCAGAAGACAGCTGTCTTCTACCATCCCTACTTTCGTTTGAGTTTCGACATCAGTAGTAAGGAATCTTCTTTTCGGCCCTAATGAGAGGGGTAGGGGGGGGGGGGGGGGGGGGGGGGCGGGGGGGGGGGGGG